TTGGCCTTCCTTTCACGATATGCTGCCCACTTTGGTATCATGCATCACAATCCTTCATGTGCTTCCGTTCTGCAGCATTCATCAAGTCCACGCTCCTTCAGGTCGCTCTTATTTCACTCTGACTTGTGGCTACTCAAAGTGATTGGCCCTTTTTCTATGGCCCTAATTTTGGCCTTCCTTTCACGATATGCTGCCCACTTTGGTATCATGCATCACAATCCTTCATGTGCCCTCGTTCTTCAGCATTCATCAAGTCCACGCCCCTTCGAGTCGCTCTTATTATCACTCCAATTTGTGGCTACTCAGTGTGATTGGCCCTTTTCCAATGGCCATACATTTGGCATTCCTTTCACGATATGCTGACCACTTTCGTGCCATTCAACGTAAACCTTCATGTGCCCTCGTTCTGCAGCATTCATCAAGTCCACGCACCTTCGAGTCGCTCTTATTGTCACTCTGATTTTTGGCTACTCAACTTGATTTGCCCTTTTCCAATCGCCCTACTTTTGGCCTTGCTTTCACGATATGCTGCTTACTTTGCTGTCATGCACCACAAACCTTCATGTGCCCTCGTTCTGTAGCATTTATTTTGTTTACGGCTCTAACCCTCACCCCCTACATGCTTTTTTCACTATGCCTCTTTCTATTCATTTCCTTTCTTTCCATGCTGTCCACTTTCTTAACACATTTGCGTCCATCTCCCCATCTGCAATCTCATTCTACCACTCTCCTCCACGTCCTCCTCCCCCTGAACCTATCCTTTTCACTACTTCTCTTTCTTTTCATTTCATTCCATTCCTTTCTGACCACCTACTCTCGAATTTTTTCATTTCTTCTTTCTCACTCCAAATTTGCCTCCATCTACTCATTAGCAGTCACATCCCACCACTTTCCTCCACCTCCTCCTCATTTCCTACACAATCTTTTAGCTACTTCTCTTTCTTTTCATTTCCTTCTTTCCCTTGATGTCAACCTTCACTCCACATATGCCAATGCTTCATTCTTCATCCAAATTTACCTCCATTTGCTCATCAGCAATCACATCCCTCCACTTTCCTACACCTTCTCATCACTCCCGACATTATCTATTCACTACTTCTCTTTTCATTTCCTTCCTTTCCTTTCCTATAACCTTCACCCCACATGTGCCAATGTTTTATTATTCATCCAAATTTACCTCCATTTACTCATCAGCAATCACATCCCTCCACTTTTCTACACCTTCTCATCACTCCCGACATTATCTATTCACTACTTCTCTTTTCATTTCCTTCCTTTCCTTTCCTATAACCTTCACCCCACATGTGCCAATGTTTTATTATTCATCCAAATTTACCTCCATTTACTCATCAGCAATCACATCCCTCCACTTTCCTTCACCTTCTCCTCACTCTCTACATAATCTTTTCACTACTTCTCTTTCTTTTCATTTCCTCCCTTTCCTTTCTTACAACCTTCACTCCACCTCATCACTGCTCACGAGGAGGGTGTAGACGTCAAAAGCAGCATAACGAAATGCCTACGGAGAATATACTCACACAGTGTATTCGGAGGGATCGGGATGTCGAAAATCAACGATCTCCTCCATCAGTCACTTGTGTCACGTCTCACCAGTGAAGCTCAGTACACCTCCAATTGCAGAAACAGCACTCCTAAGACGTTGTCTCAATCCATCATGACCGCACCCACTCCTTGATCAAAAGCCACTTGCAAAGGGGTAGTGAAATGCATTTTTTGAGGTTAAGGTGTTTCATGTTGCACTTATTCTAGCTTTGTTATGAAGCGTATGCATAAAAGTGCAATCACTGTTATTACTGAACCCTTGGCTGTTACAACCGATGTGGTTAAAGGCAAACGCTGGTAGTGTACGCCATTTCTTGTCCCCCTCAGGCCTTTCACATTAAACATTGCGAAACATTCCCTTTTCTAGTAGGTTTAAACTGGAGATGGATGTGAAATACACTTTGCTTTTTATGTATATTCCTCCACTTTGTTTAAATATTCACGAATCCTCTAAAGCTTGATTGTTCCTCTAAAATTAGTACAATCACCAACCCATCAGCAATTTACTCCAGCGGCACCAAATAGTAGCAAATTAACACGAAGATCAAAACTTTGTACACTTGCAAGAAGCATGTTTTTGTAGATCGTTGCTTTGATTTTAGCAAAGACCTTAGTCAATATAAAAGGCTAAAACCGCATGTCCTTCCCTGTAGTGTCCCACCGCTCCGTCTGAAAGGCGATGGGCACTGCATGAACAGGTCGCGGCTACTGCTGCTTCTTGAATCAGAATGTATATTTTTGTGCCAACTATTTATATCAGCTACACTTTAAACCGAGGTAAAATGGACTTTCTCTTGTTAAGGCTTAGTCTATAAAGAACTGACAAAATGCTGTATCGCACAACAACTGTGTAATCATTTCTGTGTGTAAAAACTATCCGTAATTAAAATGAATAAATTGTGTTGACGTCTGAAGGCAATTCGATTACCGAAAACCTGTATGCTTAGATTGAGGCTTCAGAGCCTTAAGTTATCCAGGAAGTGTGGAAATCGAAAACCCTCAGCGTAGCATGAGGATTTAAACAAATATCAACCGTGAGAAATGGATGAATCTCATTACAATTGGGTGGCAGTGACAGAAAAATTGAAAGTTAAGAACGCTTGATCAAGCAATACTATTTCATTACTTAACTGATATATATTACGGTACACAAAGTTATTTAATAAAATCTGGGAGTGGTTCACGTTATATTAGCCACCCCGGCGTTGTGGTTCCGATAAAGCATATAATCAATCCCACTAGGGATACGTGATGACGCAGGATCGCGTGTGCAAAGGGTTGTGCAAAACTACCTCTTCGTGTCCTGCTAACTCCTTCCCATTCTCTCAGTCTTATAAAGTTTTACTCGACAGCCTGCGTAAACGAAACGTAGGATAAGATTCCTCAGTTGCTCGAACTAATTTCTGCCAATCTCTCTGATCTCACCACAATCAAAGCATTAAGAAAATCCCTGGACTTTATGTCCAGAACAATAAAGAGTGTGGTCAAAATCAACTTTTACAGTAACCTTCATCTGTCAGTTAATTGGTTAGGCTTCCGTTGTTATGCTTTCCCTTAATTACTTCTCGCAAAGTGATCAGAGTGACAGTGGCAGTGCTTATGATCATCGGTTTCAGATGACTAATATACTTAACCGCACTGCTAGACGCATCCAATTCTATGTACAGCTGTATTTGCACTTAAAGTTACCATATCATATTGGACATGTACGACCCTACGGGAGGTACACGAGCCTTCAATACTAAACTTGACGTGGATGATTTGTGAGACCATTAAGGCGAGGGGAGCGCCTTGAGCTGCATACAGCTAGCGAAAAATTCAAGCCCTAAAAATCAATGGCTTCGCCCATATCAAAAATTTGGTTAAGCAGGATGCCTTAATTATCACGCCTGTCGTATTGTGATAAATACAAATTCAACAATACGAGTAAGAAATAACTTTATCTGCCTACTGATTTACTGTCACGATCCTGCTAACAAGAACACGAATCTATCCAGTCTCCTTTAATTCTAATACTCAAAATCGTGGAATTAAAATTCTAGTCTCACTTAAATCAGACAATCCATTTCTTATGCGCAAGGTAGTCACTCTTCGATGGAATCTGTCGGTACTCTCCACCCAAAGCCAAAGGTAGGGGTATCGAATGAATTTTGCCAGGATTAACCTTGTGGCATGCGTAGTTTGCGAGCTGTTTATTACAGATTGTCGCAGAGCACTTGCAGTGTGCGTGCTTATTTCGTCAGGTTTAGGTGTAACAAATGTACAGCTGTACAGCAAATGTAGTTGTGTAGTATATACTAGTGTTTAAGTTGACCTTTATAGGGCAGAGGCGGAAAGCGAATTCGAACGCGAATCCGATGCATGAGGATCGTCAGGAATAGCCTTCCGCGTGATATCTGCTATTCGGCTTATCTATACTTATATCCCCATTCTTCCTGCATTCATTGCCTGATAAATCTACTGCAACAAACGCCTTCTTGAAGTCTGTGATTCAAGGGCATGAGGGTAGGCAGGCAGTTCCTACAAGTTGCCCTTGGCATCGGATTTACCGATTTTTCAACTCGCACAAGGGAAAAAATAAGGAATTATTGTAAGCTTAGATAACGATTCCATTGTCTACGTGAATAGGAGCCTAGGAAAAAGGATAAAGTCAATGTTATTTAGGCCTTGATTGTCCATCAAGTTCAAGGTTAAAAGTCTGATAAATAGCTAAATTAGTTTTCGCACTGTTATCAAGAAATTGTAGCCTTCATCTCATTGCAAATTTAATATTCAATGCTTAATTAAAAATCAATTAACGTTAAAATGATTAATAATCTATTAAAAGTCGATACTTACTGCCAGATGTTCCATCGATTTTAAAATTTTAACTCCTTTGTCCGGATGGTAAGCCATTTAGTCCCAAGCTTTATTTGCAAGACTTTATTCAAACTTTACTCAGTTTGCACTTTTGCTTGCAAAAGAGGCTTTTTTGTTCATAAGTGATCCATGGTGAATCGTAGTCCTGCAAAGTAGGGGAAATCATAGTTTTGTTGAAAAGTCGAACTGTATGCGTCTACCGGTACTGAGGGCATTTGAATCCACAACCAAGTGAGATTAGAAGTACTGTTTTACAACTTCTTAACTGCCATTAATTCTGTTTTTTGACGATTTTCAGTGCATAAAATAGAGCCGAGGTAATTAAGTCATTAAAAAGTAATAATTTGTCTGGAATTATCAAATCGTATCGTGTCCAATGAAACGGTGAGAACAGGAGTAGTTTAGATGTTGCATATTTTGTCCTTACAACAGGAGCATATGCTGTGCCATTGAAAAAATTTAAACAACTTTGATGTTGTTGTAGTTTAGACGAACGGCAGACACCGCAGACTCCATAACGCCGGCGCATGAATGTCTGGTCGGCTACATCACAAGCATTCTTGGCATCTCGCGTAGAATTACGTTAAGGGCGCTGCTTAATGCGGAGAACAAGAGCGTCTGTTCCAATTTCCTCCAGTCCAAAGACCCGGCTAGTGCTGCTCTATTCGTCGGAGTTCAATCTCTAAATGATCGCCGTAGGTTAATGCTGATATTTTGAGTTTCAAGAGATTAAATTAATCCCTTACCTCTGCTCTTATTGTTGAGGAGACTTGTAAAAAATTGAAACTAGACAGGAAATGCATCTGAACCACAAATTGAATTGATTAGCTCATTCTTTGTTAACGTTAAATATTAACGATCTAAGCTAATTTTTTGTTCCAAAAGTCAGTATTACAAATGTGTTATCAACTGGTTTTCTAAAATAAGTAACGTGCAACTGATGTGCTTGATGTCGCCAGGAATGCCCACATCATCTTGGGTATCTTTACAGCCTTTGATCCATCCATGGTGGCATCGTTTCAAATAAAGTTCTCGAATGCAGCCAGCTTTCCTCAGAAAGTCGAAGGAATCCTCTTTTTGGACATTGGATCCGATGAAGGATCCATTACCAAGGAAAACTTCAAGACGGTACTTATTCTTCGCCTAATATTCTATCATTCTATGTCCCACTTAATGTATAAATCGATTCATTTTCAGCGAGTCTTTATTATGCGTCGACCTTTACCCATCCCAGACATGTATCAATGGTTATCTCAAATTATCAAGGCCTTTTTCATTCCCGCTATGCAAGCACAAGAAGCGAATTTAGGAATGATGATGCACCAAACGAAACAATCGTTCATCTTTGCCGTCAACGAGTATATAGAAGCCCTTGAAAGTAAGTTACTTCAATTCTGTCATGCTAATTCATCACTGTGCGCACTTTGTTTATCTAGCAAATGATCTATGCTCCAAGGAGAAGTTCAAGCTTTTTCCTTACCGAGACATTGATGTCGAAGCTCTTAAAGACTCACAAAACGTTCATGAGGCAGCACGCAACTTGGAGAACCTTGGACTACTAGAGGAATGTGTCTGCCATTGGATGAGACAAGTGTCCCTGGTAAAGCTTTCTCTCGTCTAACTTTTCCAACCATTTACGAGATTTAATAACACGTTTTCTCCTCTTGGGGCCAATTTAGGAGGTTCAAGAAGTTGACATGATACGCGAAGAAATGCCAAACAGTGGACCACGGACTGAAATGAGATTCTGGAGGCAACGCGCTGCACGGTTCTACCAAATTATGAAAGAAATGAATGCTATTTTGGTAAAGAAAATCCTGAATGTGCTCGAGGTAGCTACTTCTAACACTGTCCCGGTAAGACCCGTTTACATTTAAATCGGTGATTTTTGACTTCCCTTTCCGTGGCCGAATGTGTTAACGCTACCCTTTAAAGTACACCAGTCTTGTCTTTTCTCCAACATTCTGAGGGTCTGCATGATATCCACCAAAAGGTGATAAGTAGTAGCAAGGTGTAGCAAATGATTGGGAAAATTATAACACTAACGCACTAGGTTTAAAGTTAGCTGGTACTATTTCGAAAAAAGTAAGATTCATTTGAGTGACAAGCATCGGATTTTTGCAAGAAAAAAAATATATGGTTATCCTTTTGTAGATTTGGAAGGAATTGGATAATCGTGTAGTGGCGATTCACAGTGAGGCACTGAAGAACGCCAAATTTCTACAAGTTGTGATACAACGGTGCGATCCTCTATACAGATATGAGATTGTACGTTTTGCAACTCCTTCAATGACTTGAATTCGTTACTTCTCCGATGCATTTTAGTTTCAAGGTATCGTTTTGCAAAACTACTTAATGTTCCAAAATACTGCTTTATTAGTAGACACTTTAAGAACAAAACAACTTTATTCCTTTAGTTAAGCACTTTCTTTTGCAGAACGAAATGAGGCATGGTATGGGCGATTTGATGCACTGTTTACAATGTCTCTACAGCTACTCACCACACTACCGATCCTTTGCACACATGACTAGTCTGTTTATAAAGGTGAGTCAGTCCGTGTACTTGTGTGCAGCAATGACTAGGTTCATTGTTAAGTCTCGAACGCGACAACTGCTAACCAATTAAAGACCCCTGGAGCACAAAAAAAATAAATTTAAGTCTTTGAGTGAGACGAAGTTGCAAGCTCGCTAAGTAGAAATAAATAAAGTAAAAGATGGGTTATGAGGCCTAGTTCAACGTTAAACAGAGATTATGTGGATAAAAAATGAACCATTTTTTACTCAAGATAACGAATCAGATGATAATCGGTTGCCGAGGCTACGTATTTGAATCCACTCACGGATCTATATGGAGTCAGGATCTGGATCAACTAGCTGAGCGTCTCAAGTCCTGTATTGCATTGAACCAAGCCTACCAGAATGCCTATCATAAGGTGCAGAAGAACACACGGGCCGACCGAAAAATGATGAAGTTTTCTGAGGCTCAAGTTTTTGGGGATTTTAACGCCTTTGTTACGCGTGCGGAAGCCATTCTGCTAGTTATAGGGAGCATTAAAAAATATGCTGTACTTAGGAATGTAGCTTTTGATGGAAAAGATGAATTGGTTGAACATTTTGAAAAAATCTGCGATTTCATCACAAGCAGAAATTATAATTTCCTTGACCTTGGGAATTCACAATTTGTCGAGGACTTTGAACACTTCGGTTCGGAGATAAAGACTCTTCAGGAAAACGTTCAAAGCGCCTACAATTTTCAATGCAATCGCAGCTCAACAGTTCTGCAAAATCTGCGACAAGCACTGAGGTTAAGGCGAGCCCAACTGCCCATTTTGGAGCAGGAAAGTCGGTATAAACGATTGATCAATCAGTTGAGAGCTGAATTTGATAAAATCGGTGAAATCTACACTCGTGATGCCGAAAATCCTCCAACTCAGCGCAACTTTCCTCCTTACGCAGGTGATCAATTCATATTTGAAATCACTGACAAGATTTTAAGCCAGTAAAACTCATTATTAATCAAATTTATGTCATGGTTTCGTTTTAACATAGGATCCTATCAGTTAGAATATTACTCCTTGGTTGTCACCAAAATAATTACCTAAAACCTTAACATCATGCGAATTCGAATTAAAGTGTTATGTAAATATAAATAAGTTTTAGAATTTATTGGTGCTGACGAAATCCTCTATAGCTCTTAGAAGCTTTGGTTCTGGTTCGTTCAATGTCCGGCCTTCCACCTTAGCAAGTGGCGAATGACTAGCTGCTGGTGGTGATTTAAAAGATGGGATAATGTTTCCCTTGCCAAAGGCACTTCTAACAAAAAATCGTGAATCGAATGACCGATTTAAAAGGGCGACCTAAGATGCATACCTCTTACCAATGTATCACAAGACCTTCCGTGTCTCTGCTGAAACACGTTTCATAAGAAAAAAAAGAGAACCAACGAACTACAGCTTTGAGATTGTCGGCTATCAGCGCATTAGGAAGCGCAAAATGATGAAGGCACTGCCCTTTGAGCTGGGATGGCAAAATAAAGAGATCTACAGAGCTACACTATAATTAGCTCTAACTTGTGGCTATCTTCGCATTAAGGTCGAATTGCGTGGGCACGCAATTACTACCTTCGTATGGCGGAACCGATGTCGATTCTCTGGAACCAGTGTCCCTCCGCCTGCGCTTCTCGAGAAGGTCAGCGAACAATACGGAAGTTCAACCGCATTAGCGAAACGCTCGTCGCCTACGAGATTACTGTCTTTCAGGCCTGGAAAACATTTGCAAGTTTATGTTTTATCATTTTCCTCAATGATGCATCCATTTGAATGGCTGTGCCGGAACTATGTAGAACAATATTTTAGTGTTTTAGAGTTAAGTGTTAGGGGTTCACTACCTTCGTGGTTCTTCTTATCTATTCTGTTGGAACCCTATAGGGCTTTGCAGAAATGAGTGAAAATGTATTCAACTCATTCTGGTTATGAAAATTTAGACACTTAAAAGTATGTGTCCTATTATGCATGATAAGGAACGTAAATTAATTGTAAAATCGATCACTAAACAACAAAATCTTGTCATCGTTTTTACTGACAGTTGTATTTACTGTAAGTCATTTGATGACGAAAGTTGGACCGAAGTAAGCCTTATATAGTGATAGTTCTAAATTAAATCGGGCTGGGAATCCCTTCAACAAGTGTTGCCTACTTTTGTAAAAGATTTTAGATAAACTCTCTGGCCTCCATGCCTCAATTCTGATCGTGCAAAAGACTTCTCCACAAATCACTTATGTGGCCAACTTTGACGAGAATATACGGATGGTACTGCGAGAAATATCTTGTCTTGATCGCCTTGGATGTCCAATTTCAACGATAGCCGAAGAATTACACAGACGAGGTCTTTTCCTTAAGAAGCGTTTGAATAAAGTTCAGGTACTTATGGCAAAATGTTCTAACATTTTTACAAAAAATCTTCTTTGAACACTGTTTGGAATAACCAAACAGGATAAACTCAACTTCTAATAATGTGGATGAAAACAAATTGAATTTTTCTCCATTTAGCAAAAGTTAATATCTGTCTCTCGCAGCATAAAATAAGGCGTAGAACAATGCTAAATGCATCTGTAACAAAATTGTTCTGATTTTGTAGACTATGCTCCGCCATAAGAATGATGTGGAGCAAATGATTCCGCCAAATTTGGAGAAGCTCTTTGTGGTCCGCGTTTATCGCATAAACGAGGCTCTAGCACCGGGACTCTACATCCATGACTGGTATACCTCCCTGTTTGAAAAGTGGATTGCGGTAAGCACAGTCCAAGCTGCCGCACCTCTTTAACTCCGCTCCAGAGTAAACAGATGTCATGCAAGACAAAGAGACAAGACTATATGATAATCAGTAACCGCTTTCCATAATTATTACAAGAGGGAGGCGTTAGCCCTGCTAACTTTCTTAACTTGGCGCCTCTTGCTGGACAAGGACTCTAAAAACTAATGTTGCTGAAATGGGACTGATAATATGCCAAGCAGTGAATCTTTTCCCTAGGAATTCCGACGCCATAGGAATCCTCATGCCCTAACAAGCACTATTGTAACAAACCTTACTTCTGACTACTTTGCTTTGTGCTCAAACTTGATATAATCAAGGGGAATGTGCATATTGTTGAGCGCTGCTCACCAAATTGAAGGCTTCAATGAAATCGTTAATTTCATCCTTCAGAATGATAGCTCTCTGGCGAAGATCCTCCTGATATGTTTTCTCTACAGCTAACAACTCGTCCATCACCTTTGATATACGATCCTTGACTCGGTAGAAGATCCACCTGACAGATTCGACCCTATCCACTATCTCGATTGATAGTTGTGCCTTATATTTACTTCAAATGCGTGCCGTTGTGTCGCTATCGAAAACATTTTGGTGGGAAGCCATTGAGCAACAGAATTTTACTATCTCCTCAGAGAATTTGGACTTTTGTAACAGCTAGCATGCATTTGAACATCCTAATGAATAGTTAGGGTAATAACTTCTCATCATACCGATTTGATAACTGCTAGGAATTGAGTGCATTGCCCTTAAAACTGACGTTTTGTTTGGTCTGTGCAACTGCGCACCAAGTTTAATTAAAAGTAAAAATCTACGAACCGTACTCGATAGCCGGGCTATAAATTACTCAACCCAAATTTGTTTGAGTAGCATGGTAAGTACTAGCCCACAAATGCGCTAAGATTAACAAACTCTGTTCCGATTATGCACTATAAAGCAATACATATTTAACTTTATACTGCTGCATATAAATTCAAAGTGAATGAAACATGTACGTATCAATGCGAATATTTCGTTTACAGAACTGCGAGTCCGTCATACACGGACTTGCGAAGGCGATACAAGGTGCAAAAGACATATTAGACTACCAAATTAACCCAACTCTGACTGCGATGGAGCAGTGCAAGTTCGTCCGATTCCCTGATCAGCCCGAGAGGCATCCTTATGAGTTGCCCAGTGGACGAGGAAATGCAGCAATTCTCGCGATCTCCCCTCCTGTCACATCTGCTGGTGTCGCTTCGGGCAGTGGTTCTGCTACTTCCCCTAGACCCTCCACCTATGCTGGACTCTACTTTCAGAGTCGTCGAGAGCCAGGGGTGGGATGGACCTTAAATGAGTTTATCCGAACTACTGTAGAACAGGCGAATAATGCCGCTGCCTTGCTCCAGCAGCTCTCGCAAATCGCCTTTGAGGCGGCAGAGACCTACGCCACAATGGCTTTGACGGATTTTGACGAGTTCGTAAAATTATTTGGAGAGCGTTACCGCAGAGAAGGAGCGGAGCCTAGCTCCAGTACCAATGCCGGTGAGCTATACACTAGCAGCCTAGCAAGTGGATTATATCTTAGCCGGTCACTTAAACTTAAAATACCAAACTGCTTTTTTATCAAATGGATAAACATAACAGAGCACAGCATTAATTTGGGTTGATTTTGTAGATGGGGCTGGGGGTAGTCATGTTACCTCTCCTTCCACCCTTGAAAACAAAGAGGATGCTAATGAAACCGGCATGTATCAGGAATCGAAGAAGATTATCGTGCAAACTGCAATCGCAATTGACGAATTAATTCGCAATTATGGTCAGCTTGCAGTAGAGGCAGTAATAAAATCAGTGCGAGGATCTTTGGATGACTTTTGGCGCATATTTGGAAGCAGAGACTGTCTTGGCTTATTAAAGGACGTCGAAGTAGGCACCAAAGTTCGAGCAGGTAATTTGTCAGTTTATACTTTTGCTTTCTTACCATAATTGAAAGTATTTTGAAGCAAGAGAAAGTGTGGCTGTTTCTGCACTTAGGAAACCTCAAACCAACAGCCACGGTGAGATGTGAGGTGGTGCTACATGGAGACCACCTTAGCTTAAGGCCCTCGCTCGAAGAAATCCAAGTCGGTTTGAAGAATTGCGTAAAGGCAATCCTTTTGTCCACAAAAAATATCGGAAAGTGGTCAGAAGTTGGTAGACCAAGAAATTCGGTATTAGCATGGATCACTGTAAGCACATTTTTTTTAAATCGTTCTTTGTTGAAAACATTGTCTTTTTTACAAATCCTCACTTTTATGACTAGAACAAAAAGAGGAAAGCAGGAGGAGGACATGTGGAAACGATAAATGAGCTTACGTCGTTTACAGAAGCGGGTGGCACTCGTGATCGCGGGTCTCGGAATTCCCTTCGTTTTAGTGCGACTCAAACATCTCCAACTAGTACCCTAAGTCCGCGTACGCTGAGCGATCGGTCGCCTCTAAGGGTTGGTTTCATGCAATTACTCTGATACTAATCTCACTACTAAGCTGTAGAGATCGTTCAATTTTTTTTAACTTTCAGCCTTCCTCACGGAGTATCTACGGTGGTACGTAGAATTCTAATAAGCTAGCATTTATTGTCAAAGTTGAAAATTTGATTCTCGATGAAACTTATCCCGGCGGCCTGCTCCACTACCTCTGTTGTCCGAAGTGCCAACCTCTTGCACATTTAGGCATTATTACAGACAAGAATACTGCCACCTTGTCCATTTTTTGAGGTACTTTAATTTTGCAGCATAATAATGGGTACCATCAGATTATGGGGTTTTGCCTGATACCTCTAAGAACTTTGAGTTTTGCACATTTGTTGTCGTTTGCAAGTCAGTGTTTACACCGCGTGTTTGCCGTGATTGGGGATTGCATCAACGCTCTGAACCGGTGTTGAGTAGAAGCGTTTTATTAGATGAAACCTGTGATTTCGATTTAAATAATCCTTTCATGTGCTACTTAGCAGAGTTTCATATAAGTCGAGTAATGTGCTTTTCGTGTGTTAGGTCAATTAAGTGCAGTCCATGGCAGCTCAGTACAGACGAATGAACAGGATATAAACTGCTATACTGATGTACGTCATGACAAAGAAATTTACAAACTGCAAAGTCTCCTTCTCACTTGGATCAATTCAACGAAAAAGGTCAACTTCCTTCCTGGAGGTGTGTTGGAGAAAAAATGATGAATCAGCACATACATTTAAGCATTTAGCAAAGCTCGCCTTTTAGACCATTGGTCTATTTCAGCAGCTTTTTAAAGTTCAAAATCAACGTTTCTAGATCAAATAATGGAAATGACATCAGTTCTAAGTCCCTTTCATGACTTTCTTCAACTCTGGACATCTTCTCCCATGGATAATCTTCAGGAATTCCTAATCGAGCACAGCACTCCGACGATAGTGGATATTGAAGAAGTCTGCTCAAAGCTTTATGAGGTTGAAAAAAGTCTACTAAATCTTTATGATATATATTACATTGGACCAATGGAGATTCACACAAATGGTTTTAAGTATCTGGCATTGCGTCGACTGAAGGAGCATCAGCAAGTGTTTGTGGACCTTTGCGTTGAACGCCTAATCTATCCAGTATTTTCGGAAATGGCTCAAATGGAAGCAACAGATCGCATCATCTCAAAATCTCCCAAAACAATTGCTGATATCAGCACCATAATGGAATCGATTTCAAACTTCAGGAGCATTGATGTAGAGGTAGAAATGAAGATCATGCTTGCTGAGGTATGAACACCTAATTTATACATCCATAATCCTCTCGATGATTTAATAATGGGAAGCGCTAAGGCGGTGAAAAGTAAAGAAATGCAGTGGAGATTCATCAAATGACATTCTATTTGACGTTCTTTATAGGTGGAAGGTGTGGAAGTGAGGTTTGTACTACTCATGAATTGACAAACGTTTCCTAATGCAACGCTTCCACACTGTGGATTCCATGGTGTAATTTTAAGTTCCACTGAGTAATGGGCAGATTACCCTTTCCGTGTCATTTGATGCCACTGGACACCTAACATGTGTTGTTTTTTTTAATTTGAAGGAATCACAGCAAATGCTGAGTAAATATAAGGCACAACTATCAATCGAGATAGTGGATAGGGTCGAATCTGTCAGGTGGATCTTCTACCGAGTCAAGGATCGTATATCAAAGGTGATGGACGAGTTGTTAGCTGTAGAGAAAACATATCAGGAGGATCTTCGCCAGAGAGCTATCATTCTGAAGGATGAAATTAACGATTTCATTGAAGCCTTCAATTTGGTGAGCAGCGCTCAACAATATGCACATTCCCCTTGATTATATCAAGTTTGAGCACAAAGCAAAGTAGTCAGAAGTAAGGTTTGTTACAATAGTGCTTGTTAGGGCATGAGGATTCCTATGGCGTCGGAATTCCTAGGGAAAAGATTCACTGCTTGGCATATTATCAGTCCCATTTCAGCAACATTAGTTTTTAGAGTCCTTGTCCAGCAAGAGGCGCCAAGTTAAGTCAGCAGATAAAGTTTGAAAGGACCGAGGGTGGAATATCACTAAGTTGACAAATCTCGTAGCTAGATGCTGTCACTAATGAGAAAAGACTAGCTATATTTCATAAGAGACATACATCAGAGTGATGCCATTTTCAACTCCTTTGAGATTTTTTTAGAAAGTATAAGACGTTTTCATTCTTTTTCCTCCCTCCTCTCATGCCCCGTAGAAAGGTCCCCAAGAACCAAACATCTCTCAAACTGAGGCAATAGACCGTCAAATGATCGTTCGCAACAACTATGAGAGATTGATAATGAAGGCAGAGGAGATACTGCGAGGACAGCGTCTTTTTGGTTTGTCTGAGATGAATCTGTCCAATCTTCGAGCGGTAGGAAAGCAGATGGAGATGCTACAACGCCTCTACAGCCTCTACAATAGCGTGCACAATGTAGTTAATGAGTTTCGTGAGACACCATGGAGGGAGGCTAACTTTCAGGAGATTGAACACTCGCTTCTGACATTGCAGACTAGGTTAGTTGATCCTGATTCCCTTTTCTGCAGTCTTACTACCCTTTGTCCTGCCGTGCTCAAATAAGATTTGAGGAACAAAAATGATTAGATTACAAGCTTGGATTTAGAAGCAGTACATCTAGTTTTGCCTCTCCAGATGTCGCAAGCTGCCAGCAGTACTCAAGTCATCAACTCTTTACTCTGACTTGGAGACCACGCTCTCGAACTTGCTGGGTAAAATGCCAATACTGCACTTAGTTCGTAACCCTGCCATGAAGTCGCGTCATTGGGCAGTGATTAGTCAGATCACTGGCCAGCCAAACATTGACCCAGAGGCGGACAGTACGATCTCTACAAAGGTCATCATTGATTTGCCTATCGGACTAGGGGATGGTGCTACTCGTGAAGCTGTGGAGGATGTCTGTGTGGGTGCTACGCGAGAGAAGGAGATTGAAGTGAAATTGCAGCGTGTTGCACAGGACTGGGAGGAGCAGGAGTTTGTTTTGACGGCCTTCAAAAATCGTGGAGAACTTCTTCTTAAGGGAAGTCGAATTGCGGAGATTCAGAGCCTCCTGGAAGACTCCTTAATGACACTGACATCCCTCTCTAACAGCAGGCAAGAAGGCATTGGCGAAAAGCTTTTTGTTGATGGAAATTTACTTTACAGCTAGCTTTAAGAAGTGGGGATTATTAAGTCAGCTTGAACCAATAAATGCCTTATCGATAGTGCACGTGTATCTAAATCCAATGCTTCTTTATACACTTTTAATAATAATTATAATTATAATGACTTTGCTCTAGATTTAATAAACCCTTCAAGGAGACGATCGTCAAATGGGTAAATAACTTAGCAACAGTGAATGAGGTGTTGGACTATTGGGTGAAGGTGCAGTCTCTGTGGGTCTATCTTGAAGCTGTATTTGTGGGTGGCGACATCGGAAGGCAGCTGCCACAAGAGGCGCGACGTTTCTTGGCGGTGGACAAATCTTGGGTCAAGATCATTGATCGAGCTCGAGATACTCCTTCAGTGGTCACCTGCTGTACTTCCGATACCACTTTGATGGATTTGTTGCCGCGAATGCTTGAGCAATTGGAAATTTGTCAGCGCTCGCTTTCGGGATATTTGGAGAGCAAGAGACTCCTCTTTCCCCGCTTTTTCTTTGTCTCTGACTCAGTACTGCTAGAGATCCTTGGTCAAGCCTCCACTCCGGAGGCTATTCAGCCTCACCTCCTTAAAATTTTTGACAGCATTCATCACCTGCGATTCATTAAGGAAGACGTGTGGATTTCGGCGGTATATTCGCCTCTTAATGAAGAACTAATCGTGAGCTTATGTAACTTTTATACGAGGCTGACAATAAGAATGACGAAAAATAAAATAAGAGAATAAAATTCAGTATTTGTAACAATTCACATTCTTGATTTACCGTAACTAAGCTTAAAATTACAAAGCATTTACATCACTGTTAAGTGTTCAGTACCATCAAGTACTGCTTTTTAACTACAGCTGAATCCTCAACTGCAATGTGAAGGTCCCGTGGAAATGTGGCTGTTGCGACTTCTCGTGACAGTAAAGTACTCCCTCTTCGATTGCATCCATACGACTCACAATCGTCTGATAGACACAGATATCAACCTTCAACAGTTTTTCGATGAACAGATCTGTCAGATGGCCACCTTAGCTGTCCAAATGGTATGGACTCTAGATGCTACGTTGGCGCTGAATGGATCGAGGGAGAATGCAAAAATAATGACTGATGTTTGTCAGAAGTTTGAAACCCTCTTGGAGGTACTTATTAGTAGAACTACTGCGAATTTGAGCCCTCGTGAACGCACGAAGTACGAGACGCTTGTCACTATCCATCTTCATCAGAAGGATGTGTTTGATGACATTGTAGGTTCTATTAAAGACATCCCTACTCATTGATACTATCAGTAGTAGTCATAAGAATAAACCTAGTTTTTTTGAGGCTGTTGTAAAGTCAGCTTCTTCAATAAAAGTAGGTACTTACTTAAAAACTAGAGAGGATAGTAACGCGCGCAGTTAGTGATACTGACAACTTTACCTGACTTTTTGATTCCCATAATTTTGTGTTGTCCGGAATTTTACAAATGGGCTAATGTGGTTATATTTTGGTGCTAAAATTAGTTCAGGCTGGCATTTCATGACTCTCCTAAAACTTTCCCATGAATGTTGAACTTGCTTTACTGGTTGGAATATAACATCGAATTTTATGTCCTTCAGCATTACACCATACAGACCTCCTAATCAATGAATATGATGCCTTAGTGAACCTTTCATTCACCCTAGGTACAACAGGGCATTCATTCTCCAGAAGATTTTGATTGGCTTAAGCAGACGCGAGTGTATTTTATGGAGGAGAATGCGATGTGTGTCGTCTCTATCACCAATGTGAATTTTGAGTACCAATATGAGTTCCTCGGCTGCACGGAACGTCTAGTAATCACTCCCCTTACCGATCGCTGTTACATCACCCTTGCACAGGCACTCAGCATGTGTTATGGTGGAGCACCAGCTGGGCCAGCAGGAACAGGAAAAACGGAGACAGTGAAAGTGCGATTTTACTCTTTAGTAATACAACCCACCCAAATTAACTAAATACACGACTCTGTAGTCGATGTAGCTAGGAAGTTCCTTAAATATTTTTTGCTTCAAACGAGGTTTTCATGTCGAATTTAGGTTTATGAAATTCTTTGGAGTTTATTTGTCCATTGACATTACAAAAGATTGCTTTGCCTGTTTGGTGCAGGATATGGGTCGATGCTTGGGTCAATATGTCGTGGTTTTTAATTGCTCGGATCAGATGGACTTTCGTGGTCTTGGACGCATTTTCAAAGGACTTGCTCAGTCTGGTGCCTGGGGCTGCTTTGATGAGTTTAATCGCATTGAACTTCCTGTCCTTTCGGTAGCTGCTCAACAGATCGCCATTGTGCTCTTTGCCAAACGCGATCAGAAGACTGATTTTATCTTTTCGGATGGAGATGTAGTTACATTAAATCCGGAATTCGGTATCTTTATTACCATGGTGTGTTGATACTTACAAACTACTGATATTTGAAATCTCTTTCCGGAAGATCTCAGCTGCTGAATTTTGAAATATTATTTTCTTAAGAACCCTGGCTATGCCGGCCGACAGGAGCTACCTGAGAATTTAAAGACAAACTTCCGCACGGTGGCAATGATGGTTCCAGACCGGCTCATTATTATTCGCGTCAGAATGGCTTCATGTGGCATCATTGACAATCTCACTCTGGCCAAAAAGTTCTTCTACCTCTATAACCTTTGCGAGGAACAGCTAAGCAACCAGGTAGTGCATAAATATGCTTACACAATTCTAAATTTGAGTGTGATAATGCCGAAGTTATTCAAAACAAAAGTGTACACCATTGCAACAGAGGTGATGAATGTCGGCTTTAAAATCACTAAACAACAAATAAGCTTATCAAGAATTTAAGTCAAAAATAATAAAAACAGGGAACCTGAAAATAATTAAATTACTACATAATACAATTTGACCAGCAGAAATTGTATTTCCTTTATCCTTTACGGCCATAATCATTCTTCATTCACCTTGCTAAGGTTCACTACGATTTTGGACTTCGGAACATCCTTTCAGTTTTACGAACTCTCGGTGCAGTACGACGAAATGATCCGGAGGAAGGGGAGAATAAGATCGTCATGAGAGTACTAAGAGATATGAATCTATCCAAGTTGGTGGATCAAGATGAGCCTCTCTTTCTTTCTATTTTACGGGACCTCTTTCCTGGTGTGACACTCGGGCGCAGTCGCAAAGATGCGGAAATCGGTGAACCTCTAGAACAGAATGCAAAGGAAATAAACCTCACTGCTCATAAGCCTTGGATTCTCAAGGTGTTGCAGGTAGACTATAAGTGTCACCAAATTTTGGATAAATAGATATGAAGGACAATCCTGATCCCCAAAAGAGTCAAATAGTACATGCAGGAGGTGAACAAATGTGGTCCAGTTGACGCTCTCTTCGATGGGCAGCTGTCAATATGTCGTTCTTGTTTAACAGTGCAGCTGTCTTATGACTGCGAGAATAGAACGTCGTAAACATTGCCTTTAGAGAGGTGGAGTGATGCCAAAAGTAGCATTACTTTTCTTCCCTACACAAGTACCCCAATTCGACTGTTCATTCTTTTTTTGCGTACAGTTCAAAAAGGCTGCCTTAATGGGAAAAAAAATAAATATTTGCCTCTTAAGTATTAAAGATAGCAAACCTTTATAGCACAGAGGAGGTTGATCCTATGAATTTTATGATTTTGTTATAATTTTTCTGAGGAATTACGATAAAAGTCGCATGAGCTAACAATTTGTTATGTCATTACAATGTTTTGTTTATGCGACCATATGACGTTTGGCGGCTATTTCGCGGTTTTTCGGGCCCTTGTACTCGTCGGCTGACCTTCGGGCCATGCTCAGCCCACGTTGCTGTCCTCTTCGGAATGCACGTATTCAGATTCACTTACTGCTTTCTTACACTCGGCGGGAAGTCTCGAGACGCTAAAGTCATCTCTTTCTTAAACATATTCGCTACTTCCTAAAGATTTTACTTGACATATTTACCCCGCCACTGCAGTAGCTTGATGTGGCTTCTCATAAATATTTAGCATTCCTTCAAGCGAATCACTCACAATTCTCATTATTTTTACATTGCCGGAAAGGTTGCGTATGAATCCACTGTGTCTATTTAAAAAGAGCCAAAGGCAGTCACTTCCACCAATATATTTTAAGGATGCGCTTAAATAGCGCTAGATATAGAAATGGCATCTCTTTTCTCTTTGGTCATAGAGCAGAATAAATGTACTATCTATACCCCTAGAGGGGAGATTCTGATGACGGACAAGTATGAATTTGTGGCTCAAATTTCATTATCTCGGTTTTCATTAACCTGATGACAATCCTTGGTTTTATGTAGACCAAGTAATTTGTGCTTGAAGAACACCTCGGCAAGCCTTGACCTGGTGCAGTTTCATGCTGTATGGCTTGAAAGGCTCTTCCAGCCAACGCACAAAAATTAAAGAGCTCTAGCATACTAAAGTTATTTTAAAAGGTGGAAATTTAATTCCCTTTTCTGATAGCCACTACTCATCTTAATGATACATTTTAGCTTTATGAAACACAGAAGGTGCGCCACGGGATGATGATTTTGGGTCCTTCCGGCTCAGGCAAGACAAAGTGTGTGGAGCTGCTTCTGAAGACCCTCTCTGATGTGGATGAGGTGCGCCGCGAGGTTCGCATGAATCCTAAAGCTATAACAACTTCTCAAATGTTCGGACGTTTGGATGTGGCAACCAATGACTGGACTGACGGAATCTTCTCCACTTTGTGGCGGCGGACCACAAGAATGAAACCCAAGGAACACTGCTGGCTGGTTCTTGATGGCCCTGTGGATGCAATTTGGATTGAGAATCTGAATTCCGTTTTGGATGACAACATGACTCTAACGCTTGCCAATGGAGATCGTATTCCGATGGCGCCTAGGTGTAAGATTTTATTTGAGGTGGACAATGTGGACAATGCATCGCCTGCCACCATTTCGCGCAATGGAATGGTCTTCTTCAGCTCGTCCACCATAAACTGGGAACCACTAGTGAAGGTGAGTGAACGGCCCGCATCTATTTCTTTCCCCGTAATAGACAGTTACACTGCACCAACTCGAAAAAAAGCAAATTAATTAATTCCTTTCCTTGCATATTGTGATAGACATGGATAAACTCACGCCTCAAATCCCAACGAGCAAGGCTAATGGAATTGGCAACCGCTGTCCTCCCACCAATAATCAAATTCGTCACCCGAGAAATCCATGTAAATATGCCTTTTCTGGAGGCGTTTTACGTGGCCCAGTTTTGCACCGTCTTTAATGCTGTCGCCAATTCCGAGGTTTCTGAGTCAATGCTTATAGAAATGTACTTTCTTTTTGCTCTAACATGGTCATTTGGTGCCCTTTTGGAAAGACCAGACAGAGTCAAATTTGATGAACACCTACGAGACTCTGAGGTGTTTGGCAAATTAAATATGCCACCTCCAATCATCCGCGGGAAAGCGGTCACCATATTCGACTACAGGGTTGATTATCAACATGGTGAGTAAATCTAGAGTGAACCACGCCTATGTAAAGTTCCTTTTAAGTGAGACAGGATCTAGGGATAGTCAAAAATGAAAACTAACAATTATGTAAGTCTCTCATGCACTCAGTGAACTGGGTTGAATGACTGATCGGAGATTGAATGGCAGGATGCATAAGTGGTACCACTCTTAAAGATGGAAATCTATTTTAGGGCGGTGGGACTACTGGGGGTCGCTGGTGCCGAGCTACGACTATCCCAGGTGGGGATACGTGGAGTTTGAGCGAGTGTTAGTGCCGAATCAGGATAATGTGGTCACGGAATACTTGATGCAAAGTGTTTGCAAGACGGGACATTCTGTCCTACTCTTTGGTGAATCGGGCACAGCTAAGACAGCTATCATCAACAAGTACATGAAGTCCTTCAATGAAGACACGGACATTGCCAGAAACTGTAACTTCTCCTCTGCTACTACTCCTTTTTCTTTTCAGGTTAGGACACAAAAGGACTAAGAAAGGTCTCACCCTCTTATTTGTATAAGTACGCGTATGTGTGAGCCTTGGTGTGGGATTAATTAGTGCTGCGCATCATCTCTTTTAGACTTCTGTGGAAGCCTTTGTCGACAAGCGAGTGGGCCTTACTTTCGGTCCTCCGCTGGGCAAAAAGCTAACCATATTTATAGATGACATTAGTATGCCCATAGTAAACAAGTGGGGCGATCAGGTAGCCAACGAAATCGTTCGACAGACCATGGAGTGCGGCGGTTTTTACAGCCTCCGCAAACCTGGTGAATTCATCACCATTGTGGATATACAGGTTCGGTCCAATGTTCTATTGTTTTGTCATTTTATTCCAAAAGACAAAGTCCATTCTAGGAGTGGGAGCATCAAAGTCTAAATTTCAGCATCAAATTTTTGAAGACAACTCAAATTGGTGTCAGAAACAATTGACCCTATTGAAAGTTAACTAGTTTGAAAGACCCATAAACAACTCTATGTTTTCTCACTCGTTTGTTGTTTAAAACGACAAAGCAAAGCCCTTCGAATTTATATAAAGTGTATATGATTTTGATAATTTTGCTTTATTACTGTGATGAGGCAAAAAATGTTCAAGATTTCGTCACTGTGACTTTCTTCTTTTCACTTAAGTTCACGGCTGCGATGGTAACTCCCGGTGGCGGTCGAAATGACATCCCCATGCGTCTAAAACGTCAATTTTGCGTGTTCAACTGCAGCCTACCCAGTGATGCTTCATTAGACACCATCTTTACCACAATAGCAGTGGGACACTTCTCTATGGACCGTGGTTTTACGAGAGAAATTCAGGAACTGGCTATAACCCTCGTTCCCTTAACGCGACGCGTTTGGGCATCTGTCAAAGCTAAGATGCTTCCAACTCCAAGGAACTTTCATTACATTTTTAATTTACGCGATCTTAGTCGCATATGGAGGGGCATCACCTTTGCTACAAGCGAAGTGCGCATATCTGCTTAAAAGCTAGTTGGGTGGATGACATAAAATAGCATGTTTTTTGTGGTTTCCCTAAGCAGGTTTTCCAGACACGCGAATACCTAATTCTCCTGTGGAAAAATGAGCTTACACGTGTGTTATCGGATAGATTAACTAATCAGGAGGACAAAACTTGGTTCTCTGACAAGTTACAACAGCTGACGACCGGTTTTTTTGGCGAGGGTATGAACGCCGTGCTGAATCAGAAGGTCTCTTTCTGCGACTTCATCCGGTGGGCGTCGATAGCTTCATAATAGCCCTAAGTCACAGTTACACAATTGCAGACAGATTCTACTTGCCATCAAGTTACTACCTTATGAGCCCTGTCGCTCTAAGCCTGTTACTAATAATGAAGTCCCACGTGCTTCCATGTTCCTAGATTGCACAGCTAAAATTACCCCTCCTAGGGACCAGAGCCAAAATAATGGGTCCCAGCCACTAAGGTAACTTTTATGACACCCTCTAACGCCAATTCTCCTAACTACAACGTTTGTATTTACAATATGTACATCCATAGGGACAATGTTGTTCCTGCTTTTTAAAGGATTACATTTACTAATTTAATTGGCTCATTATTCCAATCTTCCATCGAAAACTTGGGTAGTTTGATGCAGGAACTAGAGTGATTTCCTTTTTGGCATTTTTATGCCTATACTTGATTGTTCTTTGGTTCCGAAATATCATAGCTTAGCCACAAAATACTTACAAACACACCGTAATCTATTTTTGGCAATATAAACAATCTCCATTCGTTCCACATTGTGATCATAAACTATCTGCTATAATAGTAACCATGGCAAAGTTTTATTGTGGCAAATCTTTGCCACTTATCACTTCTCGTCACTTATTGCTCTATGAATGGCCGACTCAAAAAAAATTGGAGGAAAATGTGTCAGATACTGTTTATTTTCATCCCATACCATCCTTGTTTGTGCAGAATCTTAGGATTTTACTTTGAATGCTTTATTTAAGGCATCTTTAGGTATTTATCAGCATCGCCAAAGTAATTTGCATCAGCTGCCTGCAGAAATTGGACCACTGTGTAGGCCAACAGATAGATTTTGCACATTTGTGGGAGGAATTGGGGAGTGAGTATGGATTCTGAAGTTCTCAAGTTGAAGAGTAGATAGCAGCCAATAAATGGCTTTGTTCTTTGAGCTCTTTACTTGTTAACTGAGTTGCCCTTAAAACAAAAGCTTCAGCGGTGGCCAGGTGGTATTTAGTGAGGTCTGTGTAAGTGAAGCATTACAGTGAGATGAAATAACCTTGTTACAACCACAGCAGAATAATTTTTGAGATAGTAAAATGAGTACATGCGTTCTGTTCTTATAGCCCTCCAAGATATAAGAAAGGAATTCATGTCTTTACATTCTAGACCGAGAGTTGCCAGGCGTTATTTTGAATTAACTGTCTTGGCTCCTTCGTAACTAAAAACACGTCGAATTTTGAAGCAGCATATTGGTGCACTCTTATCATTTTTAGACCCGATGAAGAGAGTGATGACTCAAAAAGCGGTGAAATTTCTACTGAAAGCCTGATTGTATCCACAAAACATTACGAACCAGTAAGCCTCAGCTACTTCACTTCAGCTTTTCCTTGCGGTCGGCAGCGACCTTTGATGAGGCACCGATAACGTCTTTTTTAAAGGTATTTGACATTGAGGCATTGAGACAGCGACTAATGAAATTCTTGGAGATGATGAACGCAGAGAACCGTGGAACACCTTTAAAAGTTGTTCTCTTTAATCATATCATCGGCCATATCGTCCGTGCCTGTCGAGCACTCCGCTCTGATCGAGGAAACATACTCATGGTTGGAGTCGGTGGCAGTGGCAAGGATACTACCATCAAACTAGCCGCTTATGTTTGTGGTTATCGACTTTTCACAATCAACACTAGAAGGTATTTTTTCTGTGGAAGCTCGACTTGTTTATTTATACTGATGCCAAAGTTTGTGCTTAATTAAGATAGCGGAACTATTTGTCGTCTGCCTCTGTAGCGTGTACACAGTTATGAACCTCCTGGAGGATATCAAAATGATCTATCGACGAGCCGGGATGGAGGGCAAGGGCATTGTGTTTCAATTCAATGACGCAAATATCAAGGATGAGATCTTCTTGGACCATATTAACAATATCCTAATGGGTGGCATGGTAGGTTAAGTCGTAATGTAGTTAATGAATGCTGCATGTCACTCGGGATAATTGAATGTTGCTCATTATCTGGAATGTATGACCTATGCGATTTCACAAGATCCTCATATCTGAGATGAAAAAGGTATCTTCCCCTTTAGAACCTTTAGTTCTTCTGGCATGTACAAAACTGAGGCAATTCCATTCCATTTTAAATCCACTCCATTATAACCCTCTAAAATGGAACTAGTCTTTGAATTCAGTATTACTTCATCATTTCGGTCATCAGGAAAACTTTTTTAGTTTTCTGTGAGTCTGATGCCTCGAATAACGGCTTGATAAGTTGAAACTTGTTTTGTTTAACTTCATTAGAGGCGACTGAAATATTTGCACGAATGAAATTCGTTCCTAATTGATAATTACTGAAGGTCGCTAATCGTGATTTTGTTTCAATAACTTTCATCATCCTTTATGACTAACATTCTCCTCTTAAGGTTGAAACATATTTTAACCGCGAGGAGTTGGATGAGGCGGGTAACAGCATAATTACAACGTATCGTCGAGAGAATCCTCGTCAATCATGTGAAGGGCGTCAACTTATCGATTTTTTCCTTTCGCGCGCACGGCGCCACATGCACATCGCTTTGCTCTTCTCACCAATCGGAGAGCGGTTCCGTGCTCGCGCTCTCGCCTTCCCCGGCCTAGTTGCGGGCTGCACTATCGATTGGTTTCATGCCTGGCCGCGCGACGCCCTCATCGCATGTGCGGAACGCATTTTCCAGGAGCCCCCTGCTATCACACTCGCGTTTGCCAATCCCAGTATCAGTGTCGCCTGCGTCAATGTGGCCGCTGACGTTCACCTCTACGTCGAACGCATGTGCGTCAGCTACGCTCGCATCACTCGACGCACAAATCATGTTACGCCCAAGACGTTCTTCCATTTCCTCAATACTTGCAAGGCTGTAAGTTACCTTCGTAGCGTTTCAATGTTATTCGAAATTTCTTCCATTTCTGCTTAGGTCAATTAGAAAGGCAAAGTTGCAAACTGATGCCGCTAATACAGAAAAGTTTATTTTTTTTATTTCACTAAACTTCAAGATCTTAAGAAATATCAGCAAGAGTAAAACTTGTGCAATTTTTACAATAACCACTAAGCAGTTAGCAAGTTATGCGAAGGTAAGTGTCAGCTAGGTGTGGTTGTGATTCCCTCTTCCAGATTTACGGTCGAAAGCATGCAGAACTGACAGAGATAGCTTATCGTATGGACACGGGTGTTAGGCGACTGCAAGAGGCACGGGAGTCCATTGCCTATCTTAAAATCGAACTGGCAGCGGCTGAAGAGGACTTAAAAGAAGCAAATTACTTCGCAGAACAGGTTCTTCAGCGAGTACTTGAGGAGACGGAGATTGCTGCTGGCGCCAAGTCTCGTGTGGAGGTGCTTAAGCAGCGGTGCGAGGAGATAGTTCTATCCATGGAGAGGGATCGTGAGGAGGCCCAAGAGAAATTGGTAACTGCACAGCCAGCCTTAAAAGAAGCCGAAGAGGCTCTCAACACTATCAAAGTCGGTGACATTGCCACAGTTCGCAAGCTGCAAAAACCACCAAATCTTATCATGCGTATCATGGACTGTGTCAATATCCTCTTTTATAGACCCATGCTGCCAATACAAATGGACTCCGAGAAACCACAATCTTTTACACCTTCATGGACAGAGTCGATTCGCTTTCTGTCAAATCAGAATTTTCTTACTTTGCTCACTAACTACCCAAAACACATTTTAACGGAGGAGATGATAGACCTAATGGAGCCTTACATAGCCGCTCCGGACTACAACCCACGGAGTGCACGAAAGACTTGCGGTAATGTGGCAGGTCTACTTCAGTGGACCTTGGCAATAATGAAGTACTTCTTCGTGAGTAAGGTAGTTGTCCCACTACAAGATAGCCTGAAAAAGTCTGAGCAACTATTGGAGAGAGCACAAGGTCAGCTTAAAGAGGTGGAATCAGAATTGGAGGAGAAAACCGCGACGCTGAACAAAGTGCAAATTGAGCATGAGGTAGCATTGAAACGAAAGCAGAAGTTGAAGGACGAGGCGGATCTCTGCATTCGACGCATGGACACAGCAAACCAATTGATTGAAGGTCTGAGTGGTGAGGCTATGAGGTGGAGTGAGACCTCAAGAATTCATACACAGGAGATAGTCCTATTGACAGGGAACGCGATCGCTCTTGCATTCTTCCTCACCTACATGGGTGGGTTTAATCAGGCTGCTAGATTCTCGGCACTGAAGTACTGCATTCATCTTCTGCAAAAGTATGGTGTACCTCAGAGCGAAAGGCTGGATTATATTAAAGCCTTGGCGTCTCCCATCATCGTAAGCGAAGTCAATTTATTGCGGATAATTTTTATGAATTTTACTACGGCTAAAAATCGAGACTATCTCAAAGTAAAATGAAAAATCTTGTACTGCGCTTACGGTTATCATCGTCACTGTTCAAATGCCTTCCATTTCCATAACCTATTCTCTAGACGCGTTGTAAGTCTTGTCTGAAAATTAAGGTTTGCGTCCCAATCCTGAAAGAACTTCTCCACCATAAAGTTAGTTTGTTTTTTTTCAAATCCGTAAGACTGGCCTAACCAATGCTGCTTTTTTAAAACCATACCCTATCTATTTTCAGTCAACTCTTTTTACTAAACACTTCGTCTTCGTGATAGTTTTAAGGTGAACCTCCATCATAAGTAATTCGTTATTTATTATCATTAAGAGGGCTGAAATTACTTTCTATGCTAACAGGTTTTAACTGTTAATGACCTCTATTTGGTCATCTGAAAAGGCGATTGCTATTGCTGACATTATTTTACTAACACTATTAACAAATTTTGATAAATAGTTCGACGATTATGTTCTTCGGAAGCGTATACATGTTTCAGCTAAAAATTTCTCAAAGATCAGTATTGGAGGATTGGCACAAGACCGATTGCTGGGCTACTCCTTCACTTTAAGAAGAGTGACTCAGAGGCCAGATTCAAATGCCAACCGAATAGTCCAAACATATCTTGAAATTTAAATCACCACTAACCTGAGTCTAACGTGTTCCCATTGCACAAAAAGCACCCTTGTTTGAAGTAGAGACCATAGACAGTACTAAATTGAGACTATTTACAGAGTAGTCCGGAGAATGCCATCGACTGGGCTGTCTCCTCCGATGGTTTGGTCCTATATGCATAAGCGAAACGGATCTTTCTGAGGTCTTTCATAGGATGAGTGAGTAGTAAGGAGCTTTGGTGTAGATGCCTTCATTGTATGAATGTAGTTATGCCCGATAGGCGTGCATATGGCTGATATAGCACCAAAAATGCCCAATTGAGACACAGCCGGCTAACATTGACCTTCGAGTACTTACAAACACTCTTAGAGTGCACTGTTGATGAATTTGAACCAGTAAAGAAGGTCTGTTTCGGAGTATGATTCTTTAGAATGTTCATAAGTTTGCAAATGGTACGAACTACTGTTGATTGTCAAGTGGGCACGTATATTTAGAATTTCAGGCATTGAACTAGCCTTTTTCAAAGGAAATTATTTAATGCTATAGGGACTAAGAAGTGTTTTCTACTTCGGAGATATTTTAACGCACATATACGCGTGTCCAAATACCGTTCCTACTACCCATCCAAGGTGAATGAATGGAAAATGAAGGGCCTCCCAGTGGATGAGCTGTCTGTCCAAAATGCCGTGATAGCAACTGCCAAACTGCGCTACCCCCTCATAATTGATCCTCAAGGTCAGGCCAAGAAGTGGCTCACCAATCTTTATGCTGGTAGAGTAATTGTGAGTTAAAGACTACAAAATCAATCAGTGCTTGCCTTTAGTTGCCCTTTCTCCACCTTTGGTGGCTGGTTCGAGACATGTGATTCACCTGAATCGCGAACTGCGCAAAGCCTCACGCTCCACTATTCTCTAAGCATGACTCAAAGGTCCCAAACAAATATTCAGTAAAAGCGTACATTCGAATTGAAGCATTCCAACTTTATATCGCATAAGTCAAGCTGTTAATTGTGAATATCTGTAAATTCTCCCCGTCAGTATCAACGATGGCAGTATTCACTTTTGGAATGTTCTAGTTTCTGGTACAAAGACCACTTGAATACCGCCTATCCTGACGTCATACTATATATCTCGCGTTCAGCTCAGCACTTGACTACCATGGAGAAGCATATTCCGACTGAATAAAATAATAAATAATAATAAATAATAATAAAATAATTGTGCGGAAAAAAATAAAATTCGAAAGACCTGGAAACTTGTAATATTAAGGTGAGAATTCGTGTTGACAATGTACAAGAGGGTAAAATGTTACTTGCTTGGTTCATAGACCGGTATTAATTGCAAGGGAGAAACTTTAGGTGTCTCTACGGTCAAGAAATAGGACTTGCCTTTCCGTTTTCACCGGTTTCTACCTTGTATCATCTCAATTGTACATATATGGGTCATATCAAGCAATTGAAAGGTGGAATTGGTACCACATGTTCACATTAATAACTTTACCTGCATAATACTGAGACTTTTACAACGACCTGTTCTGGATGGATTGCATCTAGCATTGCTTCCCCAGTCATTAGCATTCTAGTAGAACTCTAAACTGGCGCAATTGCCCTAAGCCCCTACAGCTTCCCCCACCTATACCATTTACCCGTCATGCAAATGCTTGGCACACAAGGACTAAAACTTGGGCAGATATTGCTTAGGCTCAAGTCAGGTCTATGTATTTCTGTAAAAGGAAAATGAAGATTTAACTAATTGACCACAGTCTTACTCCTTGCTTGACCTTCGTTAAGATTTACCAAAACCATAAAACCATCTTTCTTCGGACACATCTTATTAATGCGGGTATACCATCAATACGCTACTCGTTCTTACTAACGAAGACCTTTGATTTTGCAGGTTGCTTCCGTCTCTAGCAAGAAGTTTAGAACTTATGTCGAGGAGGCCTTGAACGCAGGAAAGTACCTTATTATCGAGGGCGTTATGGAGGACTTAGATCCAGGCCTTGATCAACTAATTACTCAGTCATTCTATGTTGTAGGAACAAATTTGCAGGTATTTGGTTACCCGTCACTCATGCACATTACCGAAATAATGTAGTTAATTACCTTAGCTTTGATATTTCGCATTCTGCCATACATTCTAGGTGAAAATATGGGAGTATGAAACTACGGTGGATTCAAACTTTCAGCTCTTCCTCACCACACAGCTCGCTAATCCTGCATTTGCTCCAGAGCTGCTTGCCAACGCGGTTCTCATCGATTTCAACGTGACAGTCAAGGGACTGGAAGACCAGCTGTTGGCAAACGTGGTCTCAGTAGAACGAGCGGTACACTACTACTACTCGTTGGTGCACTTTAGGGTTTGAGGAATCCTATGTCAGTGATTGAGGCGTGAATATGAGGAAAAATGACCTTAGGAGTAGGTTAAATGAAATGAATATTCATTAGAGCTATAAGTAGAGACTGTAATTTTAAGTGATGAATTAATAGTACATAAGCGAAAATTGTCCCTCCTTTTCATATGTTTGAAGAAATTGGAAAGTCTTAGGATAGAATTGCTCAACAGAACCGTGGAGAACAGGAAGCGCATTGAGTCTCTGCAAATCAATCTGCTCTACAGACTGGCTAATACAAAAGGTTCTCTTTTGGACGACCAAGATTTGCTCGAGGTCCTAAAATCCACAAAAGTCACATCAGAGGAGGTGATGGAGCAGTTAGCCAAGTCCAAACAGGCAGAGGCGGAGATAGAGGAGGCGCGGGAGGAGTACCGCCCCGTAGCAGAGCGTGGCGCTCTCATCTTCTTCCTTCTTGAAGATATGGCCAAAATAAACCATATGTACGAGACAGGTCTGCCACAATTTCTAGTACTCTTCAATCAGTCTTTGATTGACTCCGATGAGTCCTCTGTAACTCAGAAGCGTATTCAGAAGATCGTCAATTACATGACTAAGTGCATGTGGAAGTTTTACACACGAGGCTACTACAAGAAGGACTTTGTGATGTTTACACTCGCCCTAGCACTGAGGATTGAGTTGCAGATGAAAAATATACACAGGGATGAAGTAGAGGTATTTATAAAGGGCGGATCGGCTCTCAGTCTGCACAGCTGTCCACCCAAACCCGCAAAATGGATAGCAGATGATGTCTGGCTTAATATTAATGCTTTGTCGAGGTTGCCAGCCTTCACTTCATTAGTTGATCAGGTGAGTGGATACCTTTCGAGATGGTTGGCACAAATACATGGAAAGCTTTTCTTTTAATCAAGCATACTTAGTTTTATGGCAATCTTGGAAAGTCAACTGTGCAAATATCGTGCCGGTGGTGTATGCTTGTTACTTAATGACAGGTTATAGGGAGCGAACGCAAATGGCGCAGATGGCACGAGGTTGAGGCGCCAGAAGAGGGCATTTTTCCTCTCAATTACGACGCCGACCTCTCCACATTTGGACGCCTTCTCTTCATTCGCACCTGGTGCCCCGATCGTGTAGTACATCAGGCCCGCAAGTACATCAGCGAGACTCTGGGCCATAGGTTTGCAGAGGAGACCCTCCTCAATGTGGAAGAGTAAGTACTTGTCTCCTCCTTCCGCTGCAACTGCTCTCACTCTGACATCATATGGACTGTGACGTTAACCAGAAATGTGCTTGATAGGATTTTTATCAGTTGCCCTCTAATCGGTTAAATAAAGCCTGCATTTCGACGGTGAAGTCAGTAACGGTTAGCGGTGTTGTGGTTGCGACACCAAAATAAAAAAGGACCTGTAAGAAGTCCTAATTTTTATTAACATTGGTTTAGCTCTTAATTTGCATCTTTAAAAGGTAGTAGCACAGATTGGTTGGAAGTTCAAATGCTCTTACTCCTTTGCAGAAAGTATTTGGCTCTTGATTCCTTAACCACAAGTCGTGTGGGGTACAGGAAGAGCGAGCAAGAATTGACAAATGGTGGAACGTTTTTAAACAATCGAACATATCGTATCCAGTTGGCTAGCTCGGATCTGCCCTTTTGTTCTATGAGGAGTAAATGCACCACTCAGGCGAAAGAATGCTCATAGCAATTCAAAAAGTTGTCATTTAGATTAGTACTTTATTGCCCCAACAAAATATTTAAGCTTTTCGGAGTCCCCTTGAGAGTAACGCACTATCAAGAGGCGTTAAAGAGCCGATTGAAGCGTTGTTCTGCCAAGCTCGATAGATCAAGCACTACTTTTGTAATCCTTGATAGTACTCATGGCCAAAGGGAAAACATTTAAGCAAAGACGGTCACTACGACTTTACATTCACTTATACTCACCTCCTGTAATGAATGGTGAGCAAAATTAAGTAAAACGGTGCTTCATGTTTACTGGTTACCAAGGCCACATTAACGCGCATCTTTTTGTACCACGGCAACCAAATGCATTATAAGCGCTTCCGTTGCTCCGTAAGGATGATGATTTTCCTATTATAGATAGGTGTTTAGTCGAGGTCATAAAAGGCGATCAGCAGATATAACATAGAACATCTTTTGGTGCGCCATCAATCAGCATTTTCAAGGAATGAGATCGTTAACACAATTTCCTCCTTCAAAAAGCACGCAATTTTGGATGGAAGACCAAATTAATAAATAAATAATGGCGACTTTCATGCTTGCGTATTGCGAATATTTTATGTCTCTTCTCCACTGTTGCTCCTAGAACTTCAGTGCGTTAAAATCTACCGTATCCATTTATACGAAACCACGCATTATAAGTATTACTTGTGGTATTTTCACCATCCCCTAGATGGCACTCCTTTTGACCGACCAGTCAGCTCGAATCAAGAAATTTGATGGACTGCACATAAACTATTTACCTTAGAACTTTGTTCCTTTCATGACAGGATCGTGTGCGGAGCTAACTGTTTGAAATTGTTGCCGCGATCATAATGCTTAATTTCACCACTTATAGTTTGAAACTAGGCACAAAAAATGGAAATGCTTAAATTTGGATACTGCATGTCCGACCACGTTCCAAAGCGAATTGTTTGCACTTTTGTGGAATGATCCAGAATTGACCACAGGACTGATTGTGAGACTTCTTTATAAACAAGAACACACAGCTGCAACACTCCAACTGATCCCCATTCACTAGGCACTACCAGATGAGGAAGTTGCTGCGCTGAAATACAAGTAAAAGCGTTTAGTCCAGACGATGTCAATTATACTTCACTG